GTCGTAAACAAGTTGTATTTGAACCAGGTGATTGGGTTTGGGTACATATAAGAAAAGAGAGGTTTCCAAACTCTAGGAAATCGAAGTTACATCCTCGCGGAGATGGACCTTTTCAAGTAGTGTCAAGAGTCAACGATGACGCTTATAAACTCGCGCTACCAGGTGGGTATGGTGTTAGTGCTACATTCAATGTTTCTGACCTATCTCCATTTGATTTTGATGAAGGTTTGAATTCGAGGACGAATTCGCTTAAAGAAGGGGAGTATGATGGAGACCATCGAGCTAAAACTAATGGAGAAGGACATGTTGCTGCCAATAATGGAGAGGACGAGCAAGTTGAGGTAGTGAATGCTAATGGAGGATCTAAAGATGCTGTTTTAAAGAATAACCATTACATCCGTGATCTACTCTCAAACATTGTTGGACCAATGACTCGCGATAGACGCAAGAGGATGGATGAATCACTTAATAGTCTAAGTGGCTTCTTTAGCATTGGATCTTTCGAATTTGATTATTAGACTATTTTTGGAGACTATTGAGTTTGAGAGTGGATCATGGATGTAAGGATTATTCTTTAAAGAAGCATCTTTAGATCCTCTATTAGCATTCACGACCTCAAGTTGCTCGTCCTCTCCGTTATTGGTAGCAACATGTTACTCTCCATTAGTGTTAGCTCGATGGTCTCCATCAATTTCTCTAATGGCCGCTCTGCTGATATTGACTGCCTTGCCTCTTACTACGATCTCATCTCCACCCGCTCCCCATAAATTGCTGTAGAATTCTCTGACAGTTGTGAGATTTGATTGGACTGTGAATGTGCAAAATCATTGGCAGCCACGTTCAATTATGTATGAATGTGGGTCTGTTTCAAATGTCAACTTCCCTTTCCACAATAGCCTTCCTTTCCGATGTTCTCTGATAGAATGCTATCGCTCCAGGGGTTGTGATGGGACCAGAATTTTTGATTCCTCTGAGGCAATTCCGATTCTCTTCCCTTTGGGCTCTAGTTGGATTCTTGGGAAGATGTGGCGAGAGAGAGACAATTCCTTGGATACGGTATACTCTTTTCCTGGCAGTTTCTTTGACTCTAGCCACGGATGAAGGTGTATGTTATAAGAGTGCTTGATTCTTTACTGGAGATGGAAGGGGTATATTTCATTGGATTCACAGGTGAAGTGCTTGGATTTGGCTTTCATTTCTTTGGGTTTTTAAAGAGCGGTAAATCAAGTTTATGGCAAAGTGGAAGGCGTTTTTCGAAACTTGCAAAGAGTGGGGTAGTGGGCCGCCGTTTTTGTGAGGAGTGGGAGTGGTCTATTTTCCCAAATCCATCATTTTGAAGGCTCAGGCACCCCACATCTTTTAAAAATATTTCAAAACAGAGTTTTCCTTGCTTTTTGTCGCATCAGAACGCAAGGTGTATGGCGAATTGCAAGTCGTCCTTGGTCAATTATCTCAGTCGCGAAAATGAGTCTATCCCTCGCCCAAATGAGAAGACCAATTGTTGTTCCTTGCTGGTGTTGGATAGTCAAACTGAAATGTTGCTGTTCTGATTATATCATAGTCAGCAAGGCACTTCAGGTTAATTATCCACACTGTCTCCACCTGAAAGTTTCTGATAAGAGTGCTACCAGTCTTTCTGATTGCCACTAAACAGATTGAACTAAGAAGAACAAAATAACTTACTTTGCCTCCCAAACAGCGGATTGGTTTAATGTTTCATACCAGACTGATTGGTGCTCCCTACTTAGGTTCCTTTAATTACAACACCTTCTTGTGCTACATTTCAGCCTTCTGATCTGTGCTGTGTGCTTCCCTTCTCTTGGGATTTTCCAGTGTGTCACTAGGAAGAGTACCAGCAGGTCTGTCTGGTATCCTCCTTGCCATCTATGCAACCTGATTTTGCATATCTTTCTCAATTGCATCAAGACTAGTAAGGACACTACCAACCTTGATCCAGTCTTCCTCCTTGACTCTGAATGGTTGATTCAGAAATCAAGGTGGTTGAGCTGATCTTTGGTAGTTCAGCTACTGATTAGTCCAGTTGTTATTCTGTTGTGGCCTCCAATTGCTGTAATTGTTGAAACCTCCTTGTAACGCCCCGACTAGACCCCCATTCCTTACACAGAAGGAGTCATAGTCGAAACGCCCGCCTAGCTCTCGCTAGGTCTCAGTAAAACAGTTAATCGGTAATCGAGAGTGACAACTTAAGACCATACCAAGTCAAAAGTTAAAATTTTGATAATTGATATTAAGAATATTACATGTCTGTTCATAGTAGTTAAAATTACAATATTTTATTGTTCATAAACTAACAACGTTTAAAGAACAAATATGTACAACTGGATCTCAATTAAACTAGCCTTCTTGAGACGTTGCACAAAACTAATCTACTCCTGCTCTTGCCCCTGGAACATAAAAAGGTGTACGTTTGGTGAGCGTATGCTCAATGAGGTCTCACCGATTACCGAATATTAATCTAAGTGACCAAGTAATCAAACAAGTTATCACACTTTGTATAAAACAAATACAGAAGACTGCACATTACATGTTAAGGCTACTTAAGGTCATGTTATAACTACTGTAAAAGACGTCATTGAGCAAAGAACCATATAAGGCTTTCCACAAGCCCTGGCACATAAAAGTAAATGAACGCACATTCAAGGAGTGGATACAGGCGAGTTCAAACATGATTCCAACCCAAGCCTATGTGGCTAGAGGATTGTTTGTCTAGTTGAACTCAATGATAGAGAGAGTAAGAACAGTAGCAATATTGGCATAGTACTATGCACTTCTCGTCAACCACACCCAACAGCAACAGTAACAGTATTATCCGATAGTACAGAATTGTAGTGGTCTATCCGAGATTATTGTCCGTCTTGAGAATATTATCAGAGAGGCGGTATTATCTCAAGATTATACCTAAACAGGACCTTCTAGTGGTCTATCCGATACGTCCTAGCCCTTTGCCGACACGTTCGGAGTCGACTCAACTAGCAGGGACATGGATCCATGACTAACCAGAACAATAACATGCACAAGTAGGAATGGCACGATTAACAGTCACTAAATATCTCACGTACAGAGGTGATGTGATAAAGTACACACGGCCTCAAGAAAAGATCAAACAAGAAATCATCAACTATTCAGCTTGATACACATTATACATTGTCTTGATGCAACCACTTAATCCAAGGTATTTAAACATCAAGCATACAGACAGTCAAGCAGACAGACAATAAACTACAATTCAGTATCAAATATTCAAGCCAGAACAATCACCCGGTGCGATAAAGTACACATCCGGGGCAAACAGGATCATGCAAAAGAATGAAGTATCATGGACAATAAATATGCATTTCTGCTTTCATGGTATTAACCTAGCAAGTTACATGCTATTAATTAAACAGTGAGATTACTCACCTTAATATCTCATAGTTATAGTTCTCCAAGCTCCTTGGCTCAAGTTTCCAGTTCACAAATACTTGTCTAGTTAGCTTACTTGACTTGCTCACTGGCGTCCAATGTAAATATTAACTGTAGTTAGTAATTAGTTTAATTGACTGATCAAATAACCTTTACTTTGGCTAACTAATATCTCAGTACCAATACTACAGTTCAAGACTTTGAGTTTCTTCTCAAATAAACCTCCAGTTTACAAGCATCAAAAGTTAACTTTCTCGTTGTTAATTTTAGATTCCGATTCATTTTATATTCAAAAAAATACAATCCCAAACTAGTAAAGCATATAAAGGATATAGAACCATTTCAATTTCCCTAGATTAATAACCTTATAATCAGTATGGTTTCTACTCTTAGTTTCGATTCAATTATAATCATGAGATTAAAGGACTCAAATCATATACTTACTCCCAGCGAGTCGGCAGTAGCTAGCTCTCCGTTATCGATTCTGTCATGACAATAGCTCTCCTTCGAGTTCTCTGCATCTGGATTCCGTGAAAACTGACCTTGGGTGATGAAGATCGCGGTCGATTGAGTCATGATTTGAACCAATCGTTAACTCCTTGCCGAACCAACCCTGTACCTCCCGAATTCCACTTCTCCGGTTTCCACTTCAAGATAAGCCGGTGGGTTTGAACAGCAACAGCAGCTTTGCAAACTCCTTTCTTTTCCAATTTTCCATTTCTCACTATTGGAATCCCACACACGGCTGAACACCTTACTTCATTTACAAATTTATTTGGAATCTAGAGTTCATTGGAAGGTGGGTTATTATGAAAATAATTTCAGCTCACTATAAACAAAGGCAAGGATAGGAGATGATGATTTTTGATAAAAGAAGTGGGGAGGGGGAAGTTGAAGATTGATGGTGATGAAGACGAGATAGGTGAGGTCGGCGTTGAGAGGAAATAGAAATGAGGACAAGGTGATATTTTCCTTATTGTTAAAGCAGAAAAATGGTTTTGAAACACATTCTTTTTCTTTGTTGGAGTCGGTTGGAATTTAATATGTTAAAAGTAGATTTGGCTGAAAGTTAAGCCAGGTGAAAGGAGCAAAAAACGTGGCCTATTTTGGGGTTTTCTTTTCCTTCTAAGGCCAAGGTCGGTTGAGTTAAGAAAAGGGAAAAATGAGTTTGCTCTGATTTATAGAAAGTGGGTTAGGCATGTGCTTCTAAACAATCAGGAAATGTAGAATGAGGCTGGACTTCTCTTCCTTGGTCGGTCAACTCCATGTAAACCCAAAGGAGAGAAGAATAGTCCAGTTCTTCTTTTAATATTAGTTGGGCTTTTAAATAGATGAGATTAACCTGGGTTTGCTAAAATGAAGATCAATATATATGGCCATCAATTGGGGTTTCTGAATTAACCAACCTAATATCATTGTCTTTTATTTGTGATAAGAAGTTAAATGGGTGAATAAGTCTAAAGATACAACTATTTATTTTAAAACTAATCTTAAACTTTAGTCATGTTTTAAATATTCGGAAAAATCCCCAACATATGCTATATTTCTCTGTCTGAGAGGCGCCAGATAGGCGGTCTTCACACTCCTCGGTCATTTCCTTGCCTCATAAATTGAACTTCTTTCATAGTGGCTTGGCAGGTGGAGCTGGGGTGAGATCCTACGCAGATTTCACATTCATCAACCTTTGGTTTGTTGATGTCAGCTCTTTGCTTTGATATCTCATTGGAGATGGCTGCCATTTGTGCTTTGAAGTGAGTTGTAGCATCTAGCTCCAATACTACTGCCTTCTTAGCTGTAGCTTTAGGCTCCTTTTGCCATCTGAAATGGTTATAACAGATATTCTCGATTAGCTGGATTGCTTCTTCCAAAGGTTTTATCATGAATGCTCCAAATGATGAACCAAGTGATCCTCTGGAGGCTTGCTACAATCCATTGTAGAAAATGCACAGCTGCATTGGCTTTTCTGCACCATGATGAGGGCACTCCCTCATTAGATCCTTAAATTTTTCCCAGGCCTCATAAAGAGTCTCTGTCTCATGCTGCTAAAAAGTCATGATGGCTGATCTTAAAGCAGCAGCCTTGACAGGTGGGACGAATTTTGTAAGGAATGCCTGTCTGAGTCCATTCTAGGAGTTGATTGAATTTTTGGGAAGAGTGTCCAACAATTTTACTGCTAAATCCTTCAATGTTAATGGAAAGTCTCAAGTAAACCTCGTCCTTGGACAAGCTTTGAATCTTGAAGGTGCTGCACAGTCTCAGAAATTTCCTGATGTGCTCATTGGGATCTTCATTAGACAGTCCGTAGAAAGGACAAGCAGCTTGCACCCATTGAATCATTTGAGTTTTGAGCTCAAAGTTCTCTGCTGCAACATCCTTGTACACAAGTGGAGTTGGAACTTCCTCCTCTTGGGATATAAAATAATCTCTTAGCAGTGGGTGGAGCTCGTTGTGGCTCTCTTTCTTGAGGTTGATCAGTTGATGCTACTTCTGCCATCTGCTTCTGGTCTTTAAGAACACGAGCAGTAGCTTCTCTGTTTTGCAAGGCCTTAGATCTCCTTGCCGTGATTTAATTTCTTGATCAATACTTAGCTCTCCTGACGGATTGCTTCTAGTCATAAACTAGTAATCAAAACACGAAAAATAACAATAGCAAGATTTGTGATTTGAGTGAGTAAATTTGATCAAAAACGGAAAACTAAAAAGAACAAAACAGAACCGTGTTGTCCCCTCAAAGACACCAAAAGGATTTCAATTTCTGGACTAGGGTACCATGCCTTAGTACTTTGTTGGTGATGAGCTTCCCTATTAGAGCTTTTTTCCGGTCATAGTCATGCACATCATTCTTCTCCAGTTCAATGACTTTGGATTCCCATTGCCCCAACGAATGTCTTGAGAATGGATCTGCAATAGAGGACACCATAACCCGATTTGGAACGTAGCGACCAAACAGAGCGAGATGCCTTGGGTGGGTGGAGATAAACTAATGCTTTCAGATACCTATCACAAAAACCAAAAAAAATACAAAGAATAGAAGTAAAAAGCAAAAAAATGTTTTTTTGTAGATTTTGTTTTGTGAAACAAAATAAAAAAGTGTAGAGCGGTGATGAGTGAGTGCGATCTATGTATTTGAAGGAGATGGATGAATATGCAGGGTAAGAACAAACACAAACACTTAGCATACAATTTAACTGTAATCAGAAAAATCATCGTATAAAGTGGACTCAATCTATCCTAAGGACTCTAGATGCATAGACTCAAAACAGAAAAACACAGAAACAAACCTAACTAAAAGAAACACAAGATAAAAGAAAAAGAAAAAAGAAAAAAAGAAAGAAAACATAATACTCGCCTGGGTGATTAGAGGTTCTGGAATGGGTGCGGAGGTCCTTCCAACTGCCATGAGGGTGGTATATCTCCCCCAACATTGGTGTGCAGGAACTGCACATTGGCTCTTTGCATTAGTCTTGTGGCTAATACTGGAAAGAACCAGTCTTTCTCCCTTGGATTGTGGACACAGATATGCATCAGTTCCCTGATAACTGCGGCCACATCAATTGGTATGTTGAGGACCAGAGCATAGAGCATAAGAGCCATCTAAAAGGGCACCTTCTTGCGATGCCTCATTGGCATTATGTTGGTGCATATCATGTTGTACCACTGCCTATATTCCAGTTTTAGATCTGAAGCCGGGAAGTGCTTGAGTAGGCCATTGCGTTTTGACCACTTTACCTCTGCAGATCTTGAGCATAGTACATATGGCAATTCATCTTCTGGAGGATCATCCATCGCTTGATAAGCTCTATCCTCATAGTTGAAATCTTCTTCTGGTAAATGGAGCACCTCCCTGATCGCTTCTATGCTGATGTTGACTACTTGTCCTCTTACAATGATTTCATCCCTTGGGTCTCCTCTGAGATTGCTGTAGAATTCTCTCATTGCGCTAAGGTTGGGCCGGGTAGTGACTGTGCATAATCCTTCCTAGTGATGGAGCGCTATGTATGAATTCGGATCTAGCTGCCCCACCATACCTCGCTCCACAATTGCCTGCCTTTCCCGGTTTCTCCGAAAGAAATTTGGCGCTACTTAGTTCACCAGCAGCCGAGATGTGGCTATGTTCTGGATGATGTATCTGTGGGCATCTCGCTCTCCTTGAACAGCTGCTCGTGTAGATTTCGTGGTGTCATAATCGCCCCTTGTGCTATCAAAATGCCTCTTCTTGCCCTTTGTCTTTTCCTCACCATATTTAGGTTATGGCTTTGGTCAGATCTCTGTGGTTAAGTTTATGATTTTGGAAGATGGAGGAGAAGGATGATGGATCTGCTTAGGGCTTTTATGAAAATGGGGTCGTGGGCGGTCAGTTTTTATTGAGAAGACTTTTTATTCCTGACCTCTTCTTACCGCCAATCACATCAAAGAGTCTTTAAAATTGATTTTTCCCTCTTTCTTCCATCATAGTCTTTTTGACCGAATGTTGACTTCCCTGTCCCCAGAGTCAAATGGTTTCCATTGCGAGAGTGGGGTGTGACACTCTACAGAGTGAATTTCTGGTTGTCTCCCTAGAGTGCAAGTGCAGGGTTGCAAGTTCCCTTTGATTAATCATCTCAGTCGCGAAAGTGAGTCTATCACTCGCCCAATTGAGATGACAAATAAATGTTCGTTGCTGGTGTTAGATAGTCAAACTGAAATGTTGTTGTTCTTATTATATCATAGTCAGCAAGGCATTTCAGGTTAATCCTCCACATAGTTTTCACCTGAAAATTTCTGATAAGAGTGCCACCACTCTTTCTGGTTGCCACTAAATAGATTGATTAATTAACCGAAATACAATTGAAACAAAACTAAGAAGAATAAAATAACTTACCTTGGGTTGCCTCTAGAGCAGCGCATTGGTTTAACGTCTTATGCCAGACTGATTGGTGCTCCTTACTTAGGTTCCTTTAATTGCAACGCCTCCTTGTGCTGCATCTCAACCTTTTGATCTGTGCGTTGTGCTTCCCTTCTCTTGGGATTTTCCAGTGTGTCACTTGGAAGAGTGCAAGCAGGTCTATCTAGTATCCTCCTTGCCATCTGTGCAACCTGATTTTGCATATCTTTCCCAGTTGTATCAAGACTAGTAAAGACATTACCAACCTTGATCCAGTCTTCTTCCTTGACTATGAATGGTTGATTCTGAAATCCAGGCGGTTGAGCTGATCTTTGGTAGTTCGGCTACTGACTAGTCCAGTTGTTATTTTGCTGTGGCCTCCAATTGCTGTAATTGTTGAAGCCTCCTCTGTCATTTCCTTGCCTCACAAACTGAACTTCTTCCATAGTGGCTTGGCAGGTAGACCTGTGGTGAGATCCTATACAGATTTCACATTCATCAACCTTTGGTATTTTGATATCAGCTCTTAGCTTTGATATCTCACTGGATATGGCTGCCATCTGTGCTTGCAAGTGAGTAGTAGCATCTAGCTCCAACACTCCTTCCTTCTTAGCTGTAGCTTTAGGCTTTTTTTGCCATCTGAAATTGATGGAGACCATTGAGCTATGGAAGAACAAGAGGATGATCATGCTAAAGAAGAAGAACTTGTGAAGGTTGTCAATATTAGTAATGAGCCAATTTTGAAGAATTCTTATATTAGGGATCCATTGACTTACATTGTTGGCCCGATCACCCGTTCAAGATCAAAGACTGTGAACACTGCTCTTAACAATCTAGTTAAGTCTACATGGACTAATGAGATGGTTAAATGTGTTAGATACAAGGCCAAGATTGTTAATGTGTTGCAAGTGCAATTAAATGGACCCATGGACCTAGATGGAAGCACAACTCAAGGCCCGTCGAAGAGTCAAGAGCCCATTGGCCGTGGGAGTGGAGATGCGCGCGCCGTAACCCTAACTTAAGGGTTGAGAAAGCCTAGATTCCTTCCATTCCTACATTATAGGAGGGATATCTTGGCCACCCTTTATTTAAATTATTTATTTATGTCAATAATTACTCTACAAGGCAGATATTGGTTAGGTGGAGCTCAAGAAAAGGAGATTACTTTGTCACCAAGACTTGGCGCAAGGAGGAAGCTTCTTTTTCGAGAATATCTTCTTAGTAAAAGAAGTTTTATTTTCTTTTCACACTTAGATTTGATGTAGTTGGTCTATGGAAGAGTCTAGGTTCGTTTTGGTGGTCAAAAAGAATACTAGGAGTCAAAGAGTCCAGTTTAACTTTGAATTCATAGAATTAGGGAAAGTGTCCTATCTTCTCTCTTGGAAATTCGGCCAACTACCCTTATAAAAGGGAGGGGTCGCACCTCGAGTTCTATGTATTGAGTTGAATTGATTTTGTGAGGTTTATACCTTTCTGAGTTTTTGTTCTTATGTAGAGCAAATTGTTTGGTTGTTGCTTTGAGTAGTGACGTTCGTTAAGATTTATCTTTCTTGTGTGGCTGGAAAGTGGTTTCTATACTAATGTTTCTTTTGATTTCGATATTAAGGGCTATAGATCAATATCTATTGGTTCTTCTTGTAAGATTTTTCGAAAGGGGCCTTGCTGGAATTCAATAGCTCCACTCATCGGATTGAGTTGGGTTGTTGGTTCTTTTGAACTCGTGAATTGGTCCACGTGAGATCAATTATCATCCTAATCTGCGTCTCTAGTATTCAAGTATGTATTCGAGTTTGTCATCATTCCGCTGCATATTTTGTCCAATTCAATATTCAAAGTTGATACTTATTTAAGCATTGGTTTTGTTCTTGAGTTGCTATCATATTTTTTGTTATCAGAGCCATCTTTGGTATATACCATCGTGGTTCTAAAACTCAAATTCTTTGTCTTTCTTCTTGTTTTAATTTTTTGGATTTCTCTCTCCCAAAAGAGGAAGTTTTAGTCGAAAATTTTTGAGTCGTTCACCACTTGGACAATTCGTTTTTGTGTTCTTCATACTTATCTTATAAAGATTCAAGTTGTTCATCATCACATATAGCCTTTTGGTCAATTGTTTTGGTTGATTGGTGTTGATCTTGGTGGTTTGGATTGATTGGTGTGAAGTTGTAGTTGTTGTTTTATTGTTGGTGTCACGGCTGCCGTCCTAAGAAAAAGAAGGGGGCACGGGAAAGAAAAAGAAAAAGAAGAGAAGTTCGGGAGAAAAGAAAAAGGAAAGGAAGAAAAGGAAAGTATCTTTATTGGAGAAATATTAGAAGAAAAGAAAATATATTTATTTGGTGGTAGAAAACTTACCTTGATTAGATTTATTCTTTTCACACTTAAAAATGTAATTTCCAAATTAGTCTCCCTACACTTAAATTTTCGTCAACGGAATATACATTATAGGAGACTTGACGAGTAAGTAATCTTTATTACATAAGAATTAAGATAAGTGTTTACATAGTAAGGATTCCAATTTTTATCTCTGAAATCCTATATATACAAGAACCTTAACTCTCTTGTAGTTGTCTATCTTACGTGCTAAATTATTCTCCGTATTATAGAATTGCTCTTTAAGTGGGTTTGCAAGTTAAGTTGATTGTCCTTTTTGCTCATTGTGTGTGACCTTGAATGATTGTGCTTGAGCCGAAACTTGAACTACAAAAGGTTGAGTGGAAAAAGGCAAGAGTGCATACTATATTACTTTGGGGAAAAGCCATAACGCCCTTAAATTGAGAGAGTAGAAATAGTTGGTAAGTGTCATTTATTGGGGGGGAATATTTGGTTAGAGGGAAGTGAGGTAGGAATTTGTTCTAATAACTTGTGCAAGCTTGCTCTTCAAAATGGTCCAATCATCGGACAAAGGGAAAGGGACCGAGCAAGAAGTAATTAAAGAAACACGAGCACAAGAATGTCTATGTCAAGTGATAGTCTAACTATCCAAGTTGATGACATGACGGCGGAGCTAGAAAATATGCAAACTGAAATACGGACGCCTGAAAGAAGAAACCGCATTCATGAAGAAGGACGTGATGAGAATACAATCCATCAACAAGTGAGAGGTGGAAACCCTAATAATCCATATGATTTTGGAAACATGAAGATCAAGATACCTGAGTTTCAAGGTAGTAATGACCCTGAGGCGTATCTTGCATGGGAGAAAAGGATCGAACGAGCATTTTCATTACAAAACTATGATGATTCAAAGAAGATCCATGCTGCTGCTTCTGAGTTTTACAACTATGCCTCCGAATGGTGGGATAAGGTTCTGAAAGATAGAAAGTTATGTGATGAAGACCCCATTACTACGTGGGATGAGATCAAGAGACTCATGCGGAAAAGGTTCGTACCTTCTTATTAATATCGTGAATTGTGTAAACAGATTCAAGTGCTTACGCAAGGGAACAAGACCATAGATGAGTACTATCAAGCATTAGAGACCGCATTGACACGTGCAAACGTTAGAGAAGATCCTGAAGCCACCATGGCTAGGTTTCTTAGAGCTCTCAAACGAAACATTACTGATGTAGTTGAGTTGTCTCACTACCTTGATATTACTGAGATGTTATATAAGGCGAGGATAGTGGAGAGACAATTGTCAAAGAAGAGTACCTCAAAATATTCAACCGTGTGGAAGAAGGAAGATGTCAAGAAGATGTCCACACCTACAAAGACTGAAAAGGGAGGTAACTCTAGTGTACCTAAAACATCTTCTAGTATTAACTCTGTTTCTAAACCTTCTGGAGATTACAAGGCTTCAAGTAGTACGAGTAAGTCCCCTCTTTGCTTCAAATGTGGAGTAAGAGGACATTATTCTCGCGATTGCCCTGGAACAAAGGCAATGATAATTAAAGATGAAGAAGTCGAAGATCATGAGACCGAAGAGGAAGAAGAGGTGAGAATGCGCCAACCTATGTTTGGCACAGAAGAAGATGATGAGGTAGAGATAAGGGTAGAAGATGAACATGTGTTTGGTAATCTTCGAGCATTGTCAACTCAAGTTGCTGAGGAGTTACAACAAGGGAACAATATATTTCATACGAAGTGTCACATGAAAGACAAGGTATGCTTGATTATCATTGATCCTGGATCGTGTACTAATGTTGATAGTTCCTATCTTGTTGAAAACTTGAATTTGCCTACAATTAAGCATCCTACACCATATCGATTGCAATGGTTACATAATTGTAGTGATCTTAAAGTCACTAGACAAGTGAGTATTCCATTTAAAATTGGAAAATATGAAGATGAAGTTATGTGTGATGTGGTGCCAATGGAAGCAAGTCATTTATTGTTGGGACGACCATGGGAGTATGATCACAAAGCCAAGTATGATGGATTTACAAATGAGTATTCCTTTGTAATAGATAGCAAGTGTTATACTTTATCACCTCTTTCACCTTTTCAAATTCAAGAATGTAATCTACAAATATATAAAGAAAGAGAAAAGAGGCGAACATGTTCCAACGATGCTGAGGCTTCAACTTCTAAAGTTGAAAAGGAAGTTCCAAAGAAGAATCAAAAGCGAGGCAAGATTGGCAAGAATTTCTTTGCTAGTCCTAAAATGGTAGAGAAGTGTTATGCAGAAGGCAAAGGTATGCATTTAGTTCTATTTAATGAGAAGACTTCTGTGCTAACCGATTCTATTAGTAATTTGCCTAAGGTAATTCAAAAGCTACTCCAAGGTTACGAGGATGTATTTCCTGAGGAGTTGCCTGAAGAACTCCCTCCCATCCGAGGGATAGAGCATCAAATTGACCTAATACCCGGTTCTGTTATACCTAATCGACCGGCGTATCATGCTAATTTGGAGGAAACGAAAGAGGTGCAAAAGCAAGCGGATGGACTCCTTGCTAAAGGTCAAATTCGATAATCACTTAGTCCTTGTGCTGTTCTTGTTATTTTAGTTCTTAAGAAAGATGGTACATGGCGTATATGTGTTGATTGTCGTGCTGTTAATAATATTACAATTAAGTATAGGCATCCAATCCTTAGGTTAGATGATATGCTTGAGGATCTTTATGGTGCTACAATATTTTCTAAGATTGATATGAAATCTGGTTACAATCAGATTAGAGTTAAACAAGGAGACAAGTGGAAAACTGCATTAAAAACTAAGCTTGGATTGTACGAGTGGCTAGTAATGCCTTTTGGATTAACTAATGCACCTAGTACTTTCATGAGGTTAATGAATCATGTTTTGAGGCATTATATTGAGAAATTCGTAGTACTGTACTTTGATGATATCTTACTGTACTCTAAGGATTTGCAAGAACATACTGAACATATGAGGTTAGTTTTACAAAAGCTAAGAAGTGAGAAATTATATGCTAACTTACCTAAGTGCTTTTTGTGTCAAGGAAGTAGTGTTCTTAGGTTTTTTTGTTAGTGGAAATGGAATTCATGTTGATTAATCTAAGATATAAGCTATAAAACATTGGCCTATACCTACTAACGTATCTCAAGTAAGATCATTTCATGGTTTAGCTAGTTTTTATAGAAGTTTAAGACTTTTCTACAAAAGCTGCCCCATTGAATGAGTTAGTTAAAAAGGATATTAAGTTTGTATGGGGACTTTCTCAAGAGAAAGCATTTGAGCAATTAAAGAAAGATTTGTGTATTG